TTCTCTCTTGTGTGAAAGACCACTATACAATGGGAAGCCATTTGTACCTTGTCTATATTGTGGTCCATGTACTGTTGGGTATCAGGGGACAGAGAGTGTGTGCACATGTATCAATAGATTTCTCAGTGTGTATATGTGTGTGTGTGTGTGTGTGTGTGTGTGTGTGTGTGTGTAAGTACATACATATGCACACATCTTCATTCACATTTTTTTTCCATCTTCCTGTCATTATTGCTGTTTTTCATTTTCATTTCATCACATTTTCTTCAAGCAGTCTCTGTGTTTTTCCAACAGGCCTTGTGATTTGATATGGCACAAAAACAGCGAAAATCATTTTTAAATAAGAGAGTGCAAGCAAGTGGAAGAAAAAAGAAAAGAATGCACTTTTTTATGTAAGACAACGCATTAACGGGAACAACACGGCTCTGGAGATGGATGGTGGAAATGAGGCACGAAGCTCTGAAGCAGAACAAGAAAAAGAGAGAGAGGTGCATTAATATATTTATGAAGAGAAAAGGTGGAGAAGACAAAGTACCTTTGCTTTGTTATAATGAAACTTAGTTTGAGAAGAGGAGACATATAATCCGTGCCAACGTTATTAATTGGTATAATGTCTTATAAAGTCTGATTTTTCACATGAACAATCCTGCAGGACTCAGGCTCTTACAGGATAAGAATTATCAGCCGTCTTTTCTAGTTTTGAGGTTTGTGGTTTGTTCTGTACACTGAGAAAATTAATGCTGAGGAAAATACTCTTCATATAGTTTGTCAGAAACTGTGCGCTGACATTGTTTTTGCTTGAAAATAATGTCCTCTAGATAGAAGTTACAAGTTATAAAAAATATCATTGTCATGCTTGTTAAGATGGTGGAGCTTCGATGAATACTTAGTCCAAAAACAAGAAACCATGCAGTATAAAAATAAGTGTTCCAGCAACAAAGGTCCACTGCTGCAAACACAGCTCGTGCAGCCAACTGCATTGATTCAGCTGGTTACGTTCTCAGTCAAAGTTCCTAGGAGAGATGCTTACTCAGCGGTTTCCTTTTCAGTCCCATAGAAATCCTAGAAATCGCCAAACCTACGGAAAGAAAGCTACAGTTTGTTTACATGAGGGAGGACATACTGAATATATACTGTCGCATTTTCATACAAATATGTTTGGTCTTTCCTATCTAAAACACAGTTCATTTAAACTATATGACCTAAACAAGTGGTTACCTCAGCCAAGGAGGTTATGTCTTCAACCCCTGTCCATTAACTTGTTTGTTGGTTTGTTGGTTTATTGGTTTGTTTAGTTGTTTATGAGAAAATGTGCCCAGAAACAACAGAATGGATTTCAATGAAACTTGATGGTCATTTTCTCTTACATCATCATAAGCTGTTTTGAGACATTATCAGTGTTTTCCCAGGGAATACTTCATGGATCTTAAAGAAAGGAATCAGGCACTATGAGTGTGTGACATTTGGTGCAGCTTGATTGAATTTAAAGGGACTGATGGGTTGCTGGAGGTCCAGCTCTAGATGCCACTCTCGTTACAGTACATGCAGGAATGTATGTTTTTTCTGTTGTTTTATTATGTGTGAAGAAGGACTCACCATTGACTTCAATTGTATTGGATTCTGCTCTAACAAAGTTTACTTCTGAGACTCCAGAAGTGTTTGTGGACTCAAACACTTCACCCACCCCTCCATCGGCATAGTGGTGAGTAGATAATGAGTGAACTATCCCTTTAACAAAGACCGTGACTTTCATACACAATGGAGACACTCTAATGAATGTGCACAGTTCATTTGCAGTCTTACATATTTAAAGAAGAGTCTTTGTCAGGCTATTAGTTGTGCTGCATGTAACAGTGCGCTTTAGTGTGTGAACTCACTCGGTGTCATCAGCAGTGGGAGTGTTATAGCTCTGGAACAGCGGCTGCATGAAGAGTCCAAGTGTTCCCACCACACACACCAAGATGAAGATCCACAGGAACAGACGGTCTATCACCATGGCCACGTACTTCCAGTCCTCAATGATCTGAAAGCAAACCGACAAGTTGAATTATTTTAGGAGAAGATTAAGCTAAGTCTATAAAGTATGTGTGAGGAGGTAAATGATCAGATCAAAGAGCGTGCATTTTGAAAGAGTTCCTAAAGTTTCGGTGTGTAAGAAGAAGTGTCTCATTAACTGCTGTTGTGGCGACGAAGCTTCTGGGAAACCAAGTGTGTATGAGGTTATATATGCAGTGCAGCCGGCTGATACTGAGAAAAGCTTGATGAAAAACCTGCCACCAGCAATTACAGCTGCAAAACTTGTTTGTAATATTTATTAGATGTGGGAGTCCAGGGGCCAACAGTTCTAGGGTGAGGGTTAGTGCTGCCTTCAAATACTTTGTGTTCATATGTGGGTACGTGTGTGTGCAGGGTTTTCTGAGGATATCTGATGTTTTCAGGAGAAGTGAGATGATTGACAGGTGACATGTTCAATGGCTCCTCGTGCCCTTATCATTCCCCCCTGTTGCATCTTTGTCGTCATCCATCTCGGTAATCTACCTTAGTGCGTCTTATCTTCCTCCTATATTCTTTATTTCCTATTTTTAATTCTTTGACACTGTCTATTCCTGCTTTTTTTTTATCCTCTCACCCCTTCATCATCGTCCTCTGTCTTCATATGTTCAGAGATGTATCTCACTCCATCCACTGCTTCCTCCAGATCTGCATCCCACTGACCAGCCAAAGGCCTCTGCAAGTCTGAAAAACCTCCACCACCATCTGGGATGTCGCCCACCCCCCAGCAAAACCTGTGGGCCATTTCCTCATTCACGTAGATAGAGTCACTGTCTGTTGGGATCCCGCCAAGCCTGATGTTGGAGTACTGCTTCTTCTCCGTGAAGCTCTGAGAACAGCTTTTCCTGGCGGTACTTCGGTTGGCGTACTTCTGACGGAGTTTGTTCCGGATGTTGGAAGAGCCTGGGCGCCTCATGAAGAGGAAGGTGGGCAGTTGGATTAAGAAGAGGCGTTTGACCCACTCGGGCATGTGGTGGGTGGAGGGGGAGCGGTGGTGCACGTTGAGGACGCAGACGGTGCTAACGGTAGAGAAAGTGACCAGCACCATGGTGAACATCAAGTATTTACCTAGAAGAGGGGGACAGGTATAGGAGAAAATGAACAAATACATAAATACAAATGATGGTAATTCAGTTTACTTCAATTAAAATGATAAAGCACCAATTAAACATGCATTTTAGAAACGTTATTCCTATAATAAGATCAAGGTGGCAGAAGCAGAGCTGCCTGCATAATCATGTGAATGGGAACATTATTAAAGTCAAAAAGACAAATGCAGAGCACCAGAGTGGTGAGTTTGATATGACGGAGTTGTTTTGCTGTAAAAAATGTGCTTTGTGGAGATAGCAAGTAAAAATGGAGGAAATGCTGAGTTTGCCAAAAGCCTGCCACAAATAAAGCCCTGCACGGGTACAGTAAACAACGACCTTGGCCTTGACCTACTTGAGAAACGATCCATTTATCATGTCGTATATTTTGCAGTAACACTCGCAGTCTGTACATGCAGTAGAAAGACTTATTCCAGTATTTTGTGTCAACAAAATAGCATGGATACATTTTAAGAAGTATAGAAATCCCAATATTCTTCAATTATAATATTTTACATATTAAATACACACAGACAAACTTGAATATGACTGACCTATCAGTGGCACTGCTAGAGAGGTTGGTGGCACTATCTTGGATATCAGCAGCAGGAACACAGTGAGGGCCAGCAGCACTGAGATACACAGCGTCATCTTCTCGCCACAATCTGACGGCAAGTAGAAAACCAGGATGGCCAGCGACGTGATCAGCACACACGGGATGATCAGATTGATGGTATAAAACAGTGGCTTCCTCTGGATGACAAAGTCGTAGGTGATGTCCAGGTAGGTGATGTCGTTGGGGTCCTCATTTTTGCGTGCCGGCAGCGACACGATGTCCCACTCTCCGCTGGGCGTGAAGTCGTCGCGACTGGCAAAGTCACTGGTGAGGATTAGGTCCACCTCGGTGTGGTCATAGGTCCAGGAGCGGAATTTTAGAGTGCAGTTCTGCTGGTCGAAGGGAAAGTTCTGCACCTCGATGGCACAGGCCGACTTGTAGATTGCCGGCGGGAGCCAAAAAATGTCCCCTGTGTTGGAGACTACCACGTTGCAATAGAAGGACACCTCGTAGACACCATCGGCACTGTGACAGGTAAAAGAAAGCATTGAATAGATGGAGGCATACGAGGCATAGTCAAATGACCTCAAATCTATTCACTGTCCTGCTGAGAGTTAAGAGAGAAGATCGATACCATTCTTGTGCCTTTTTAACTGAATACACAGCCACAGATGTAAGCATACACTTAGAGTCCTGTAAATACAGAGGTTTAGGCCTCCGTGGATCAGACTTGCTTTTCCAGCTAATCCTACAGATTTTAGATTATCTTACTGAATGATGCCACTAGCATCAGGTACTACTGTTGTTATGAGGGGGTGTACTTGGTCTGCAACAATGTTTAGGTAGGTGGTACGAATCAAAGTTAGATGCACATAAATCCTTGGACGTAATGCTTTGCAGCAGAAGATTAACCAAACATTTACTCTTCGCCGACAGGTTTGTCTTCTTCCCAAAGAGCATCCCAATGCCATTTGATACATTGTCCAGTTCTGATTTGCAGGAGACAAGGGTCACAGCAAACTGTGATGTACTGTGTGTTCTGACAAGTTTCTATCATAGCCAGCTTTAATGTTTTCTGCAATTTGTGCTGTAGTAGTTCTTCAGTGGGACTGGACCACATGAGCCACACTTCCACACTTGTATCATTGATCCCTGGGTTCCCTTGATCCTGACGCTGGTTGTCCTTCCTTGGACCACCTACCACTAAACACCGGTCGGGTACACACAAGACCTGGAAATGCTCAGACCCAGTAATCAATCATCCATCTCAATTTGGCTCTTGTTGAAGTCTCTCCAATTCTTACACGCTCATTTTTCCTCCTTCCACACATCACCTTTATGAAGTGACGGCTCAGCTGCTGCCTCATCTATCCCACCCTGTGACAGATGCCACTGTAACAAGATAACCACTATTTTTCAGTTTAGCAATGTGCTTTCAAAATTGTTGTGGCTGATCGGTTTATTTATGAAACAGATATGAGAGTGACATCGGTCTTAACACGTAACTCTCCAGAAGAAAGCTCTCTGCTAACCACTAGCTCTGACAACTCCTTTTACGCCTGCAGTGATCAAAATGCGACGAACCCAATCACTCCCTTATTATTGGTGATAAAGTGATAAAGAAACCAGATTAATCTCTAATCTCCTTCACCTCAGCGAAAGCAGAGAGAGAATGCAGAAGATTTTCCCCATAGAAAAACATGCTTATTTTAGCCCTAGATTATCTTCTTGTAAAGCCTGGTAATGTTGGAAAACCTCTTAATGTTGTGGAATTATAAGCCGTTCACACATACACTAATAGACTATAAATACAGTTATATATTTTTCATTGCACTGAATATAAAACAATATAAATTAAATACTGACAATCTGCTGTTCTCTTTGTGCGATGCCATGCATCTACTAACTTGTTGTAGAGCACTATATCAGGAAGCCAGATGAGTTTGGATGGTATTCGTAGTTTCTTGATGCCTTCATATTTTTCTGGGTCCCATCTCAGCCTGTAGTCATTCCATTCCTGCGAAGAGAGCGTTCATAAATTTCATTGCTGATAAACACACCTGCCTACTGAACACTGTGTGTGCACTCAGCAGTGACCAGGATTGCACTGTACCTGACACAGCCACAAGTTGGTCGTCATGATCTGCTCCCTCTCATTCTGCAAGAAAACATTGATCAGCTTGTCTTACGTAACGCAGAATTTCCATTACATTCTACTCAAAAATAAACATTTCTGTGTTATTACAACGTTTTCTTTATTGCCTTTATAAACAGTGGGGTGATTTCAGCAAATCTCATTAAAGGTCAAACTCAAATATCAAAGCAAACCTTTAGGGGGTGAACAATATTACAAACAGTTTTGGGCAAAATGAAATACCTTTCTACATAAATGCCACAGATGTAATTAACTGTTGAAGTGCAGCTTTGCACAGGATGTGTCTGATCAAAGGTTAAGCAAAACAGCAAATCTTAAGATGCAGTATTTGGAGTTATTTCAGATGTTTAACATGTCCAATGAAATGCTTCACAAGGCATCTGAATTAAGCCCAGAGGCGTGAAGAGGATGTCAGTCAAGGACCGTGTGCACTAGCATTAAGGCAAATTCATAGTTTCAACTTCAACCAGTCCCCCATGGTCCCTGTGACAAAAAAAATCCGCTAGAGAAGGCACAGACCCGCTATGTGGATGTCTGCGAGCAGCCCAACATTTGTGACCGTGCTGTACATGTTGACTCCGCATGCTCTGGTTACAACATATCCGCCAACTGGAATGGAATGTGTGATCAAGTATGCATGCTTGGAACACAAGACCAATGTGTGATCATTTTAGTATGAATGGAACTATGGGCATGTACGTGTGACCAGAACAATTTAAAACTCCTTGTGGAGTTTGGTCAACCCTTTAGACACTGATGCATAATTTAGCATTGTGTAACAATAATGTGATTATAGTTCTTAATAATAATTTCATCTTTCAAGTGCTCAGTTTGAGCTACGATTTATATGGTAGCTAGCTTCTAGTTTGGCTCAGGGGGTGGGGTTGTGGTGGGGGGGGGCACAGAGAAGAAGGGAAATATTTCCTCTAATGTTTTATTTACATGTTTATAGTGTCTCCTATTTCAACTATGAAGGATTTGCGCTTCCCCTTCATTTTTCTATTCATGCCATTCACTTTAGGCTCTGCACTTCTGGTCTATATATTGTTTATTATGCCACCACCTTGAAAAACCTTTGCTGTCATGGGTTCAGGGAGTTTGCGGCACACCCACTAAATAACAGGCTTCAGTTAATATTCCAAAAACACAGATAATCCAGGGATGGATAACCTTTTTATAAAAAACAAAAAATGATCTCTCCATCCATTTTCTAAATTACTTTTCCTGAGACAGAGGGGAAGCCGCAGCCTTTCCCAGCATGCATTTTGTGTCCAGCCTGGACAGGTCACATGCCAATCCAGGGCTAACTCAAAGGGAAAGGAAAACAGATTCATCCAACTGAAAGCCAGGTTTTTGCATTAGTATGACACATCATTATTATTAAGCTTGTAATTTAACAGATCAAAAATGGTTTGAGTGCTTTTAAGATATTTACATGGCTGTTTTTAAGGTAGAGCCGGTTAAGTTAATGTAATGAAGCAGTTATAAAAGTTTAAGTAAAGCAATTACGTCCCTTAATTTCAGATGGAGATTCCTGATAGAGCAGAGGAGACAGCAGTGATTAGATAAAAGTTGTGTAAATGTTATTGGATGAGCTTTTCCAAATCAGACTGTCAGAATGTCTGCTGGGACAAAGGCCTGCTGGGTAGCGCAATGCCTGGATTTAAATGACGACGCCAACCATGCAAGTGTAAAACCAGCACGTAAATAATGCAGGGGCAGATCCAGGGGCAGGGCCAGGAGGGCCCGAGCCCCAGCCGAAACCTGACCTCCAAGTGCCCTTGTCCTGTCATAGTCTTGTTTTTTTTAACAAACCAGTCACTAACTAACAATAAATATGACAAAGATACATTTTTGTTATTTTCTTAAGAACACAATGTGCTTAAACAAGGAAAAATGTTCTAAATATATACAATGACGTGTGCCTTTGCTAAAAGCTATAGAGCTAACAGTAAACAAGGAATGACCTAAATGTGCACCTTGCTAAATCAGGAATTGTTCATGGATGCTGGACACAAAATTGGCAGTGGTAGATCAGCCACTTGCCTTGGTTTCCTTGTGTTTAGATTTGTGTTCTGTTTGGTTGTTGTCTCTGAGTTTGCCATGTCCTGTTTTATTTTGAAATGATGCTCCTTGTGTGTCTCTAGCTTAACTTCCTGTCCTTGTCCTGTTTCCTGCCCATGTGATCGTCTGCACCTGCTCCTCATGTGTTTCACCTGTGTTCAATCATCCCTGCCTCCCTTGTCTATATAAGTCTCAGTGCTTCTGTTCCTCTTGTTTCACTCGTTCCATGTCGGTTGTGTGTGCCAGAGCCTTTGCTGATGTTTTTTCTGTATATTGATTATTTGAATTTTTGGACTGTGCTTCTTTTCTGCTAGCGCTTTTGCTTGAATTAAAGACATTTTAGTTTTTTCACCTGCTCACCACAATATGAGAAAAAACACTTTCACATGCATCAACAGAAGCTTAGTTGTTGTTTCCAGGTGACAAAATAAAACAGAAAAAGTTTCCTGGCTGAACTCCCTCTGGGTTGATCTTCTGCAAAGTTGCAATTTGTGCATTGTGATCCTGCTGTAGCTCTTTAAAGAGAGCTGCAGTGTTGTGGTGTTTTCTTGGTGTGTGTCCTGAACTCGCTCCATGTGCACGTGTTTGTCTGTGTGTTTAAATACTTACTACACTGATAAGCTGCGACAGAGACACCTGTATGGAGATGGTGACCTGCTGGCTCTTATTGACCGCTGGTCTGATCAGTTTATTGTAGCGCTCGGGTCCCAACAGGTAGTTCACCAGCCGCTCCTCTGCATTCTCTGCCCTGCTGCCTTCAGGAAAAACACAAGATGTGAGGACGTGTTATATTCTGAAAGTGTAGAATTAGGACGCAGGTTATGTTTACATCGTTCAAACAGCCACATGCACCTTTACACCTCTGTTTGAAAGAACACAAGTCAGTCAGCCAAACATAAATGCCGCAAGTGAATAATTGCCATGTGTTTGTCCAGCAGAGCACAATTTCTGGTAGAAGGGGTAATGTGTCTCCCTCTCAGTGTAACACCACATCCTGTGCGTGTGTTGCAGTTCAAAGCTTGATATCCTCTTTATCGCAGTATGTTGTCAGTCATCACAAATGATGAACAATAAACAAGTTGGCTGTAAATGAAATCAGTTTACCGACGGCCATCGAGTCTGAATCATGTGTTCTCAGCAAGTGTGTGTCTGTGTGTGTGTTTGTGTGAGTGCGTCTTGCAGTCTCACGCTTTACTGGAGGGTTTTAGAGCAAAAGAACAAACAAAAATCCAGTCATGCATCCATCCCTGTGAGAGGATCCCTCAAGCTTTGTGTTTCCTCAGCCCTAAATTATTGGTTATGTAAAAGCGATGGTATGAATAAGTCAGACCCACTCTCTTGGCCCCCGCAGCCATTATGTCTCTACATTGTCAAACAAACTGACAACAGCGCAGACGGCGTTAAATATCTGGACTGCCTCACCCCCGCTGTGCCACATGAATTGTCTGTTTTACTATGATTAGCGAGCGGGGATGTTCTTTTTTCGGCGGCACCCTGCTGCTTCAAGTTTTCATGGCACAGTGAACGCTGTGTGGAACAGGGAGCGAGGGAACAGGGAGCGAGGGAACAGGGAACGAGGGAGGGGAATCTATTAGATCTAAATGAAAGGGGACACATGATACACTGAAGGTTAACCAGTTAGAACCTTAATCACATCTAACTTTCATCTCAGGTGGCCCCGGTGAGATGGAACAGCCTGTTGCATGAGCGTGGCTGCTACCGCTTTGGATCACAGCCCACACCTTGCGGTGAAAGAATGACATGTAATGTTCTCACAATGGTAAGGTGGTCTCAGACTTTTGGACCCCACTGTTTATAAAGGCAATAAAGAAAAGACTTATGGGATGAACAAAGGGGTAAAATTATAAATAGATTTCACAGTAAATGTTTAAATTTCAGATTACTTTTGATTAAATGCAGGGAACAAAAAGATAAGAAGTAAGATAAGAAGTCCTTTATTACTCCCAAAATGGAGAAATTTGCAATAGTTCTGTTACATGACAAGGCATGGAAAGTGTGGTGAAAGTGTTATGACAAAGAAATGTACTTTGGGAAATTACAATAGAGGAATAATACAAAAAATGTACACTGATATTCATTTTACGGTCAAGGTTTCATTTTCGGTTAGCATAGCTTAGCATAACACTGATCTGAAGGGAAAGAGCTACTCTTTATGACCAGATTCTTCATGTGAAAATCTGTTTGTGAGGAACAAAATGTTACAGTTTGACCAATCACATTTAAGCAGGCTTAGGTTGCTCTGTAGTAGAGGAACCCATTGAGCAAAATGCATCGGCTATCTGCCTTTAATTTATCTGTGTTAATAGCTGTTAAGAGAGATATGCCAAAATGTTATCTGGATCTGAATCACCTGCAGAAAGTACCACTACCATGTTTGTGATTTGGTAGAAACATTCGACTCGTGTGATAAAGAAACTGGTCGGAGTGTAAACAGTGTATGGCGAACGGAGGGCAGAGTCTTGGACCAGATTTACACTGTCTACACCCGAAGACCCAAAATATTGACTAAAATACTACTAAATAAATACTACTATCTGCTTCTAAAGCCCTATGACTTACATTTTCTTTCTTATTTGTTTGACTTGTACCAAAATCAAAGTGCCAAATGACCTTTTAAGGGGGTGGGGATGGATTTTTTGTGTCTTGCTATTTCTCGGCTAGGATGAGCAACTTCCTGGAGGCTCCGATGCTCGACGCAAACTAGGTTAATTGGACAACATACTGTATATGTACAGTGGGAGGAGGCTTTGGTCTGCATTTATATATTGAGCTGTGTATGATCATTTGCAGCACAGGAGTTGTACATATACTAGTGGACTTGTTTGTGTTCCACTCTGTCTGTATATAGATCTTTTCTAGTCTTGATGAGCACTCAAAGCACTTTACAGTAAAGGTTTGCAGCTCTTTCTCTATCATGCATCAGTCACACACTGTTGGCACAGCCGTCAGGAGCAATTTGGTGTTCAGTTTCCTGCCTATTGACACTTTGGCATGAAGAATGAAGGAACCAGAAATCGAACCACCAACATCCTAGTTTGTGGACGATCCATTCAACCTCCTGACCCACATTACGCCCAAGAAGATTTCCCATGTGTTGCATTGCAGTGCAGATTCAAGTTATTATTTCATCGGTTCCCCGTGTGGTGAAATTAATATTGATGTGCAGGCTGTACCATTCTGTGTATTCAATCTCTATGTTTTACAAGAGCTTCAGTCACAGTGATGAGGCTGTCACTGAAGAGTGGTGCTGAACATCATAGCATTGTGCAAGGCCCGTTCAAATCTCCAGGCCGTCAGGGAAACACAAACACTCACAACAACATGGTGGACGACACACAGAAGTGCTGTGCGCCTTCTTGGTGTATTACATCATTTAAATAATTCAGACTTGGATTTGTGGAGATAGTTGCCTTGATGGATGCTGCAGAATAATGCTTTACATGTCGCCTGTCATACCTGGTCTTTGTCAGTCCAGCTGGTTACATAGAGCGGATATGAAGAACAATGGCACTGATTTAGTTTTTCACCATGTCAATTTCTGGCCTTTTTTTTTTTTAAGCTAAAGCCTATCAACTTCATTCAGTGAGTGCAGGATGGAAAACTCAACAATCCATGAAACACAAGGTCATGTCAGAAAAAGGAACCTCTTCTTTAGGAAAAGTGTTCCGCTTTAAACACAGATGATGGTTCTCTCTTTGCGGGAAGCATAAAATAGCCATCTATAAATTATTCAAAGAGCCCATCTGCTTTTACTTACAAGTATTTTAAGAGCACAAACACAGAAGACAGTTTTTAAAACCCTTTCCCTGAGGTAAAGGTTGTAGGGAGGAGTGTTGTGGCTGCTGAAAGAGATGTACTAGATCCACTCTCTGAGTTGAAACTAAAATTTTCCCTTACATGATTAAAAAGTATGATGGGTTTAAATAATGATTTCACAAATTCAAGTGCGACAGCTGTAAAACAGCCACTGCGCCTTTTCCAGCAACATGAACACTGTGATGGTTTACAGAAATAATATGGCAGAAAAATAGAAGTTCAAAATGTTGTAAGCAACCATTAACAGTGTAAAGGTCAAGTCCTTGATATTCTCTGCAGACACTTTGGAGGAGTCTGAAGAGGAGTTAAAATCCTACAAATACACAGTCTGCAACAACAGCATATAATCTAAATGTGTCCATTTCTTACAGGAGATGAGTAACTGATTAATGTTATTTTAATGGAATACTAGAGGAATAGAGTTTGTGTTCCTTTGTTATGTTTCTGGTCTGTGGAAGAGGCCTTTAGATACTGGGAGATCGAATGACCAAATTAACTAAATGAATAATGAAGCATAAACATTGAGGATTAGGCTACGTTGTTTTTGTTTAGTGGGTCATTCTGCTTGCAAAATAATACAGAAGAATATTACAAGTATACACACAATAATAATAACACAATCACTCCAATACATTATCAGTAGCTTTAGCAAGATCTGCTTCTGGCAAAGGAGGATCTTGAATACGTAGCTCAGTGTTTCATGTGAGCTGTGTATGGTTATCTACAGGACAGGGGTTGTACATGTGCACAACTGGATTATTGCTTCCAAAAGTCTTCTTCAGTACAGTGCATTCATTCATCTTCAGATAAGTTACGTCCTCTGCAGTTCACTGACACCAAAGTAACTTGTAACCTGTGTGTGTGTGTGTGTGTGTGTGTGTGTGTGTGTGTGTGTGTGTGTGTGTGTGTGTGTGTGTGTGTGTGTGGCATGGACTTTGTAAAATCTACGTGAGGATCATCTCAAAACAGTATTTTTCTTCATACCCAACTTCACAGAACACTCTTCTTTAGATGTATAAAATGAACGTGAACATAAAACCACTCACTTGTGAGGGACAGGGCGAAGAGCAGCAGAAAAGTATTGGCAGTCATCGCCTCTATTCTTCCCTGGACCAACTTGCTGCTTTGTTTCAGTCTCTGTCCTCCAGAGAACAAGTGTCCTGTGTTTTAATCCCGCCGTCCTGCTCTAACCCTTCTTTTTTACAGCCTCCTCCTCCTCCTCGGTCCGCCGGATGCCTCGCACCTGATCCGGCTGCTCGTCTGTGGCTGGAATCTTACGCAGCGCAAAAAAACTAGAAATTCACGAAGTAACTTTTTTCTAGAATAGTAAAGAAGTTACTATAGTAGGAAAACATTGTTTTGCAGAAGACAACATGCTGGTGCGTGAGCCGGGCTGCCCATGGTGCGCCTCAGCCACAAACCAGCCGCGCTGGCATCTAAACTGCGCTGTCGATCCAATGCAGACAGTCCGGACAAAAACAAGACTTCTTCAAGACTTCTTCCTCTGCCGCTAATGAATACACTTCCAGTGCTCACCTGCGGTAAGTTCACTCTTTTCCGGTGAAGCGCAAGACGCGTTCTTGTGCGTAAAAAGAGATGAGGCGCAGCGCACAGTGCCAGGACGCAGGACGCACCGATTCCTCAACTACATCCAAGGAAATTCCACAAGGAAACCAGGAACTGCTTCTTCCATGAAACTCGCGCTGATCCGAAGAGAAGCCAGAGAGAGAAACAGCAGGAGGTAGAGGAGATGGATGAGGAAGAGGAGAAGGAGGAGGAGGAGGTGTGTTTGCTGCTTGAGCGGAAAAGATTCACGTCATGGCTATAGAGTGATGCTCAGCTGATCCGCTATAGATGACCTCTCTCTACCACTGGTACTTTGAAAATCTTTACTGTCCACAGTGGAACAATACAGAAGAGAAAACGAGATTGCACAT